TCAAAGCTTAGGGTAAAGACTGAGAGCATTTGATGTAGGAAGGGGGAGTGGTCATATAGGTCTTAGTCAGGACATGTGATAGTCACTGTAGGAGTTGCTGAAAAAAGAAGTCTGTAACTCTCATTAACCCATTTAAGCAGATTGTGTACCATCTAAAGGGGAAAATGTTCCTGGCTATTTTGTATTGCCTTCTTTGGAGTTTCCAGATCTCTTCTGGCCACTTCCCTCGAGCCTGTGCCTCCTCGAAGAACTTGATGGCAAAAGAATGCTGTCCTCCATGGATGGGTGATGGGAGTCCCTGCGGCCAGCTTTCAGGCAGAGGTTCCTGCCAGGACATTCTTCTGTCCAATGCACCGTCTGGACCTCAGTTCCCCTTCAAAGGGGTGGATGATCGTGAATCCTGGCCCTCTGTGTTTTATAATAGAACCTGTCAGTGCTCTGGCAACTTCATGGGATTCAACTGCGGCAACTGTAAGTTTGGATTTGGGGGCCCCAACTGCACAGAGAAACGACTCTTAATTAGAAGAAATATCTATGATTTGAGTGTGGCAGAAAAGAATAAGTTCTTTGCTTACCTAACTTTAGCAAAACATACTATCAGCCCAGTCTATGTCATCCCCACAGCCACGTATGATCAAATGAACAATGGATCAACACCCATGTTTAATGATATCAACATCTATGACCTCTTTGTATGGATGCATTACTATGTGTCAAGAGACACTCTGCTTGGAGGTTCTGAAATCTGGAGGGATGTTGATTTTGCCCACGAAGCACCAGGTTTTCTGCCTTGGCACAGACTTTTCTTGCTACTGTGGGAACAAGAAATACAGGAGCTAACAGGGGATGAGAACTTCACCATTCCATACTGGGATTGGAGGGATGCAGAAAACTGTGACATTTGTACAGATGAGTACTTGGGAGGTCGCCATCCTGAAAACCCTAATCTACTCAGCCCAGCATCCTTCTTCTCCTCCTGGCAGGTAAGGTGCACTTCACATGCAGAGTCAGAGAGGAATGGTACTCAGCAGCCACATCTTCATGCAGGTCTCTGTGAATATCTTTGCTGATGTCTCAGTGTAGAAAGTGTGCCTAACTAAAAGATTCTTATGCTTCTTGACATTTTATTTTTTTAGAACACTTCAAAAACACAATTAATGATTATTCATCTAATATCTAATAGTTTAATTAGATTTCTAATCTGCTCTGAACAAAGAATGCTTGGTTTGCCACTGTATTGCTAGCACCTAGGATGGTATCTGGCATAAACAGTAGGTCAGAGTTATTTAGGAGTGGAGTAACCAAATTATCTTAGTTCATGATTCTGAATAAAAAATTTAATATTACAATAAAACTAATAGGATATACTACTTAAAAATAAAAATTCCTGGTCCTAACCTGAACCAATTAACTAGAATCTTCAAGGGAGAGTGCTGGCATAATTTACTAAGTATCAGTGATGACCTTTATTACAAGAATGCTTGACAAACACTGATTGGATACAAAATCTTCAGTTGTTTTATTTTAAAAAGAAACTAAAAGCTGTTGAGTATTTATAATATGTGAATCTCTATTGAAAGTATTTATATACATTACCTGATTTAATATGAACCTATCCTCCTTTTAAAGCCGTAAGATATACATAATTTGTTAAAATTATATAACAGAACTGTTTGTAAATAGCAAAGATGGTATTTGTTCATGGGTACAATGGCTATCTGACTAACCCCTTCATTTTCAGGGACAAGACTGACCTTTTGAAAGGATCTAGCTCTTCTAAACTTTTTCATTAGGATGAAGAAGAAATTAGCCTTCTTCCTACTTTACAAATGTTAGAAATAGAGTTAAGAGATAGCTAGTTTGAGATTAGATTCTCATTTCTCCTATTGTTTTTCTTCACTCGGCATTAGAGGCAAAAGGTAAGAAAGAAATGTTAAAGTGTTTTTCTTTAAATAAATGTGTGAGAGATTTTCCTTTCTTCTAAAATTTCCTACTTCACCTATTCTGACTACCAATTCAAACATGATAAAAAAAAATACTGCACAGGCTGCCCCACACTTGAGAATTTTAAAATACAAATTCACTTTATCCCTGATGCTCACACACTTCCAAAATGGAGCCCCTTAAAGTGCCATTGTACAATACAGCTGCTAATTCCTGGTGTCAATGATGCCAACTGTTTACTAAACCTAATGAGTACTTATATGGAGGGACTTCACTGAAAATTTGATTGCTGCACATTTTCAACTATTCTGCCCCAATCAATGAGCTTCAAACCCCTCCTCTAGCTTTCTACTCCTCTGGCTACTGCTTTAAGTCATGTCAGTCTTGGATGTGGGAGTCTTAGATATACAATACTTTGATTTACTACATAGCTTTACTTGATGCAGAAAGGCTGATGGATCATCTAAATTTTCAAAAGTTGTAATATACACACTGAGTTCAGTAAGGAGATATAAATTAATATTTAATTACATAAAGAGTCTACTTCTAGATGATACCTAGATTTAATGTTTCTAATCATGTTTTGAGTATTGAATTCATCTTATGATTATGGGCAATTATATAACTTTCTTAAAAACAAAACAAATAAAAATGTAAAACCACATAGATTGATCTGGCTTAGTAAGCCATGAACTGTAACTGCTACAATATTGTCTACAAACTTGTACTGCAATTATAGTTCTGCAGAGGAAAAGAGCTCTTTACATAGAATTAGAAAAGTCAAAGAATAAAATCACTGAAGAAAAACAAGCAAAATTAAAAATAAAAAGAATTAGCAAAACAAAACAATAAAAATTTTGCAAGCAAACAGCATTTTAAAGATGAGGTCTAATACATAAATATTTGCTCTGTCTCCCTAAGCTGTGCACTGTCCAGAGATAAACAGTTGCAGACATGACAGATAAATTAATTCATGTTGTCTCTTTTCTTCATTTATACAATCTCTCTTGTTAGTATACTTTGAAAATGAGAGTTTTTCTCTCATTGCCCCTTTCCATTAGGAGAAGGAAGGGATAGAGGGCATGGAGGAGGGATATGGTCAAAACACATTATTATATGCTTCAATGAAAATGTCTTTTGAATCCCCTGTTTGGTGAATATGCACCAAAAAAAAAAAAAAAAGAAATATCACTTCAAAAGAAAACTGAATAGTGATTTAGAAGGGAAATCAAAGCAAATTAGGTTTGTTTGTGTCTGGAAAGATGGCTCAATTCCCAGCATCCGAATGGCAAGTTCCAACCATTCGTAACTCCGTTCCTAGGGCTCTGACATCCTTTTCTGGCTTCCATAGGTACCTGGTCCATACATGATGCAAGACATACATGCAGACAAGGCACCCACAGACATAAAATTTTAAATAAATAAATGAATGTTTATTTACTTTGCTTTAATTCAATCACTGTCAGATTTACAGTCATCTATGGTTTTTGTCATTGCTCTGTAGTTGCTTGAACATCAGTGATCTAACTACTTGCTGGAAACACAGAATTAATTGGTCTATTGTACAGCTCCAGTGTGCATTTTTTGTTTATTTGGAGACGAGATCCTACTGTATCCTTAGGCTAACCTGGAACTCACTTTACAGCCTAGTCGGCCCTCTAAAGCACAGTAATGCTCCTGCCTCAGCCTCCCAAGGGTGCTTGTACTTTTAAACCTCTTTATGTGGCTCTAATTTGCAACCAGCACTATGATTCACAGATTTAATTAATATGGAGATTGTTTAGTTATCTCTTTACTTTCCTTTATGAAAACACTGTTTCTGTAATGAACACACCATTACTTTGAATGCTTTTGTCTAAATTAAACATTCAAATTAAAAACTAGACTGTTTTGTCTTAGATGAGATCAAATAGCTTCCAAGTTAAAATGAGCTCATTAATACCTTCCAAATTAGCTAGGCTGATAGCCCATTTCATATGGGCTTCTACTCCTTGCTTGACTTAAGATATCTTTTTACTTTACAAAAGGAGATGTTAGAGATTTGATAGTATTTTACCAGCCTGAGAGATCTTTTGTAGTATCTCACAGAGTACTCACATTTTATAAATAATAGGCTCGAAACAGTAGGAGAATTTGTGTAAAAAAAAAAAGAAAAGAAAAGAAAAGAAAAAACATCCAAGGACAGAACCCAAGTGGCTATGTCTCCATTTCTATTAAAGTAAACCATGTTGACTTATGTTAAATGCAGATCTAATAACAAACTAATTTATGGATGTATAATTTGAGAGGTGGTTATTTTTTTTCTGAAGTTCTCTGCAGTTGACCAGGTTTGATCCTAACACCCATAAGATGGCTCACAACTATCTAACTCCATTCCCAACCCCAGGAGATCTGACATCTTCTTCTGACCTCTATGGACACCAGGGACACACATGGTCCATGGACATGCATTAGGAAAAACACCCATACATACACATAAAAAGTAAAACTATTAAATTCCCATGCACCCAACCTGAGAAAGAAAGACACTTCTATTTATTTCAGATAGAATTGATTTCCTTCCCTTTGTTACACACTTTCTGTAGATTTATCTTACATCTTCTCTAATATTTCAGAACATGTGAATGATTTTTAAGCCTATCTCTGTCTACCACTGTCAGATTCTCCAAGGTAGAAACTATTTATAAATATATTTCTAACCATATATAGGGACCATGATATGCAGACAGAATTTGTTTCATAAATACATGATAAATTAAAGAAAAAAATGAAAATCAGAGAGAAATTGAATTCTTATTCTAGATGGATTTCTGAGATCTCAGCTCATATTTTACAGTACTGAATTCTCAATGTGAAAGATGTGAAGTGCCAACAGACAGCACTTGCTTAACATCTAAGATAAGGCATTTTGTACAGTGTTTTCTGGTCTACGTGTGAGTGTGTGTGTGTGTGTGTGTGTGTGTGTGTGTGTGTGTGTGTGTGTGTAAACGTGTACATAAAAATATATGGTATAGCTCATAATACATCTAAACATTATTTGAGATGAAAAAACTTACCTGACAAGCTTTCTTTGACAGGAGAAAAAACACAAAGTCAAATAATTAAGAATTAAGGTTAATTTTCTTAGAAATAAGGTTTAATGTGCAATCAATCTTTTCCTAGCTTGTTATTCATTCATTTGTATGATTATTTTCAAAAAAAAACATCTTCAAATAGAAGCATATCTGTCTCCATTAAAATAGTCAGTAAGTTTTAGAAAAAGGAAGGTACTCAATGACATTTACGTACAAAATTTCTGTGGTCAACACCATTAGATATAATGTTATGCAAACAAGAGAAGCGAACCTAAGAAGAAAAGGTGTGTCGAAGAGAGCTGTCCCAATGGATCTCAATGGAGAGGAAAACAGTTCCAGATGATAGATGTGAGTGAACTGCAGCCAGGGAATCCACTCAGCAGGTGGAAAGCATATCACATGGAAGCCACAGGGGGAAGAAAAACAAAGTCACATTTCAGCAGAAAGTCATGGGTTTAGGTAACCATGACAACAGCTCGGTGCAATAGCTGCTTCTCTTTTTTTCTTTATGAAAGATTTTGTGGAATGTCATATGGTTTAGTGTTTTCTTTTCTCTCTCTGTCTCTCTCTCTCTGTCTCTCTCTCTCTGTCTCTCTCTCTCTGTCTCTCTCTCTCTGTCTCTCTCTCTCTGTCTCTCTCTCTCTCTCTCTCTCTCTCTCTCTCTCTCTCTCTTTTTCAGGAAAAACTCAAATACCATAATAAAATCTTTGCTGCCGAAGGCTTTTAAGAGCACGTAGTTTATTGCTACTTCCTACAATTTAATAGAACACTATCATGTTTCATCTTCCATACTAATACACCTGTGTCTACTGTTTCCCTTTCTTTGCTTCTTTGGACTTGAATATTTGATTATACTGCCCTGAGTATATGCTACACATCATTGTGGTTGGAAGGAAAAAGAACCAAACTTTTACCATACCAGCTGGGCTCAGTCCAACTTCTGCCATTTACCAAACTGCTAAACAAGCTGTTTAGAATTCACGACCTTTAGAATTCACATTTTTCAACAAGAAAATAAAGAGTGTTATTATCATATATGCTTGTTTTCTGTGCTAATGAGAGAACCAAATGTATTAGAATGCAATGTACTATACTGTGAAAGTAATTGTCCAATGACACACATAATCATAAATTTGTATAGACTTCTCTAACTTATCTACCGGACCCCTAGGAAGTTATTAAGATATTTTAGAGATATTGTTGTTCCTAAAAGATATGATAGCTCAATATAACATTACTTTAAACAATTTAAAATAATCAGTTCATGTAAAATTACTTGCTAAGACTTTGCCAGATTGTTCTAATTTCAATGTGTGGGAAATACTGTGTTTTAAATGATACACCGGGATCAGTCATTATAATAATGAACATTCAACACTCATATACTTAGTGATAAAAATAATGTAGATGTCTAATTAATAGAATAAATGGTTTTAATCTAAAATAATTCAATTTTTGGCATTATTAGGGGTGAGGTAATCTGGGGGTAGAACCCAGGCCTTATAAATGCTAGTCAAGTACCCTAGGACTGAACTGCATGCCAGCCATAATTATTGAATCCCTTACACAGGTGCCAGAGAGTACTGCATCATGCCCTTTAAATATGCTGGACTACCTGATCCTGAATAAAGAGTCATTACATTCTCCATTTAAAGATGAAAAGCCTTGACAGAGTCTGGGTGACTTGTCTGAGGCTATGGGCTTACTAGAATCAATATTAGACCCTATATTTCTGAGCACAGTCTCCAGGACAAGTAACCACAATGCTAACAAATTCTCCATCCTTGTCCTTGCCTCTGAATCAAACATAAACAATTTGGAGTTAAGTTTTTTTACATTATTTCTGTAACCACAGTATCTTTCCTCTGAATTACTAATGCTTCCATCACCCAACCACTTAGTCACATAGCAGTTGGCATTCAGCAAAAATAGTTCCATCCAACCTCTCTAATTTAACTGAGTCTGCTGTAGGAGTCTTTTCTGCAAAAAGACCTTTTGGAAATATCCTGAGGATTATTAGTCAAAGAGGAATGAAATGACTTCCTCTGTGTCCCTGACGTGGTGTCTAGTCAATTGACATTGTAAAGACTTCTAAACTGCTATGTCCAGAGCAGAAGTTGGACTAGTTTTATGAAACCATTCAGGAGTCATTAATAGGAAAAAAATAAATGAAGTAGATAAATCTTTAGAATCAGCAATGCTGAATTTATAGATTTTCAAATACCTTCATTTGTAAAGAAATGGTTATTTTAAGGATATATATAACTTAAAGATAATTTTATACAATATTTAGCACATTTAACATTATCCCTACCTTTCTCATAGAGTTTCAACATTCTGGATTTTGAATTTTTGGATTGGGATTCTCAAGCTGCATAAGCAAAGAGACAGTGTGGCCTCAGCAGCGGGATGACATAGGATGAAAGCATATGGGGAACACTAGCCAGGTTAAAGACAGGTTTTGGAGGGTTGAATTAAAAATAATGTTTGACAGAGTCAACGTGAAAGAAAATGGAGGGTAACATACAAAAGGGAATCCATTGCTTCCTGGCTTTAACAGCAGGCTGGTTGATATGAAAGTACAGAGAAAGGAATTTTTTATGTAAATAATATATTTGCAATGTATGAAAACAATGTTTGAATTTTAAGTATGTATATATTTAGAAAATGAGAATTTTCATTAATGTAATTGGTGGGTAACGCCATCAAACTCACCCATACATATGGCCGAAGAATATAAATGGAAACATAGAATGTATAGAGCTGAGTTCTACATCAAGCACAGATTTATGGCTATACTGGTTAGTTTTTGTTAACATTACACAGACTTTGACATACCTGAGAAGAGGGATCTCAATTAAGTACATGCTTTCCAACAGATCAGCATGTTGGTTTCCTAACAGAGAACTTTCTTGATTCCTGGTTGATGTGGAAAGAGCCAAGGCACTCTGGGTAGTCCCATCTTTGGTGAGTAGGCCTGGGCTGTAAAAGAAGGATAATTGAGCAAGTCACAGCAAGTTGAAGGAAGCAAGCCAGTAAGCAACATTCCTCCATTGTCTCTGCTACATTTCCTGCCCCCAGTTTTATGTTATGGCCTTTCCCTATGATAGATGTTACCTTGTGCTTCAAATAAACCCTTTCTGTCTAATTTGGCTTTAGTCATTTTGTATCACAGCAACAAGATGCAAACCAGGACAATGAGCAGCGCACAGTGCTCAGAAATGGACCTACATTTTGAAGATTAATTAACTTGTAATTTCTACCTTGAAATTCTGAATAATTTTTGCTGTGAATTTGTGTTTCACAGTGAAGCCATAAAGACATGAAATATACTATAGGAGCTCAAAGTGATTTTACTCTTGTGGTATCCTATTTTCTGTGGGGAAATATCTTTTCCTTTCTGGGATGTTGGATGTAATTCCCTACCCTGTAGCTCCAGCCCCCTCTAGTCCAAAGTCTTTGGGGGCTACTGGCCAGAACATCAAGAGCCACCTATCATTGTCATTCTGGTTGAGGAGAATTTGGGAAAAATGAAGGCCCTGAATATTTTGTTACAAGTTGGAACAGATGTGTTTCAGTACTGACAGAATGATAACTAAATGGGCAGAAGATTAATTATCACAGGATAATTCTTACCAAAATTACTCCACAAACTCAAAGTGTGTCCTTCAAATTCATTTGCTGAAGCCATGCAACTAACTGCATTTTCAGATAGGACTTTGAAGGTAATTAAAGTTAAATGAAGGAAGAACTAAGACCACAATTTTAGGCATTTATCTTTATTGTAGCTGGCATTTACTACCCTAAATTGTGTCCAGAAAGTTCCCAACTATACCTTGAACTATCGACAGTTGTAATTCATAAAATAGAGCCTTATTTCTTTTTTGTGACTTTGGGTGGCTTGTCAGTATTGACTCTGTCTCCCTGAAGCATTCCAAAGCAACCCTCTAGTCCAGTCTTTCTTTCTTCCCTCTAAGTACAATAATTAACCTTTCTTAATAATTTGTTTAATTTTATTTTATGTGCATTGGTGTGAAGGTGTCATATGCCCTGGAACCGGAGTTACAGACAGTTGTGAGCTGCCATGTGGGTGCTGGGAATTGAACCTGGGTCCTCTGGAAGAGCAAACAGTGCTTTTTACCACTGAGCTAGCTTTCCCGCCCACAATAATTAATCTTACAAGGGTCCCCCTGCTCAAATAAACAAGTTTCATCTCACAGTGTTGCATCTTGATTGCCACAATCATATACAAATTAGGTGACAAACTGGAACTTTGTTGTTCATTTTAACACAGAAGTGCTTTAAAATCGTTGGCTGTTGAACTCCTGTGCATGCGTTACAAATGCATAGAGAGGGAAAGAGGCAATGGCTCAGTGAGGAAAAAAAAACTTGCAATGCGAGCATCAGAACTGGAGATCAGACAACCTGCACCCTCTTAAATCCTGAGTGGGAGGAGTGGCTTCCTATCAGTATTGATTTGCAAAATGGAAATGTGAAATTGCCAGAGAAATCTTACTAGCCAAACCAACCAAATGAATGAGTGCTGTTTCAGAGAGAGAACACATCTTAATGTATGCCATGGTGAAT